GACAGAGGGAAGGGTGCTATTTAATTGCTTTAAAGATATCAAACAAGCCAGTTGGAAGGTTATCTCCTCTCCAACCCCTCTGTTTTTCTGGCTCAAGGTTTTGTTACTTAGTTACTAACCAAGCTGCAGAGGAAGAAGAGGCAGCCCAATGTGGATTACAGCTCAGACTTCATTCAGCAGATGGAGGGCAGAGTCAAAAAAGCGTGGGGGAGCCAAAGGCAGAATAGGAACTTGAGGTTGGCCCCTGAGTGCAGGTGGCAGCCCAAACAGCTCCTTGGAGGCCTTCAGAGGTGGGGAGAGAAGAGAGAGGCATACATTTTCTGGGAAAAATCAACAATCATCCGAGATGACACATTTCTGCTGTCAAGGTCAATGTTGTTCAGAGTCCACTCAGTCAGCTGCAGTAAGACAGGTGCGCCTAACGTGGGTGTATCAGTGCTTTCTCCAGGCTGGGCCTGCCCTATCTGATAAGGAGGGGAAGGCTTGACAAGGAAAGTACATGGAGGCGGATATTGTTTTATTTGGTCATCCACATTAAAGAGCATACAGGGCTACATGTGGTGGCTCACACCTGTAATCCCAGCACTTTGGGATTATTCAGCCTATTCAGGAGGCCGAGGTGGGTGATTACCTGAAGTCAGGAGTTCAAGACCAGCCTGGCCAACATGGTGAAACCCCGTCTTTACTAAAATTACAAAAATTAGCCAGGCATGGTGGCACCTGCCTGGAGTCCCAGCTACTCGGGAGGCTGAGGCAGCAGAATCACTTGAGCTTGGGAGGCAGAGATTGCTGTGAGCCGACATCACACCACTGCACTCCAGCTTGGACAACAGAGTGAGACTCTGTCTCAAAAATATAAAAATTAGGCCTGGCGTGGTGGCTCACACCTGTAATCCCAGCACTTTGGGAGCCCGAGGTGGGTGAATCAGTTGAGGTCAGGAGTTTGAGACCAGCCTGGGCAACATGGTGAAACCCAGTCTCTGCTAAAAATACAAAACTTAGCAGGGCATGGTGGCGCACACCTGTAATCCCAGCTACTCGGGACACTAAGGCACGAGAATCGCTTGATCCTAGGAGGTGGAGGCGCAGTGAGCTGAGATCACGCCACTGCACTCCAGACTGGGCAACAGAGTGAGAACCTGTCTCTAAATAAATAAATAAATAAGAGCATACAGAGAGCCACCAACAACTCACCCAAGTTGCCTAGAAGGGTGATGGTTATTTGGTTGAACCTCCAGAAGCAGTCTGTTTTTGCTAGCAGTACTCATATTAAAATTAAAAACAAAAAAAAAAAGTGCATTGCTTCATCAAAGTCGCCTTTGAGTTGGGGGCATGTTGCGAGCCAGTGTTTCATTTCTTGCATGGGTAAGAAAACAGTGTTTTTTCATTTTGTTTTGTTTTGTTGAGACAGGGTTTCACTCTGTCACCCAGGTTGGGGTGAGTGGCCTGATCACGGCTCGCTGCAGCCTCCACCTCTCTGGGCTCAAGTGATCCTCCTATCTCAGCCTCCTGAATAGCTGGGACTACAGGCACACACCACCATGACCAGTTAATTTTTTAATTTTTTGTTTTTGTAGAGACTGGGTTTTGCCATGCTGCCCAGGCCTGTCTCAAACTCCTACAAAAATTAGCCAGGCACGGTGCCCACCTTGGCCTCCCAAAGTGTTGGGATTACAGCCAGTTATTATTATTGTTTTTTTAGACCTTTCATTTTAATGAAATATTCAGAATAAAATTTGAATAAAGTAAGTAATAAACAAATTTACAATTAACAGTTAAATATTTAGGAACATTTAATGTACTAAGTTGTGCAAACAGTACAAATACTTAAGAGTGTTGATTGGGGTAAGGCAATGTCAACTGCCAATAAATGTAAAAGATGAAAGAACAGGGCTAGGCGCAGTGGCTCACACCTGTAATCCCAGCACTTTGGGAGGCTGAGGTGGGCGGATCACCTGAGGTCAGGAGTTTGAGACCAGCCTGGCCAGCATGGCAAAACTCTGTTTCTACTAAAAATATAAAAAATTAACCAGGCGTGATGGTGGGCACCTGTAATCCCATTCTTGGGAAGCTGGAGGCAGAGAGATCGGCTTAACCCGGGGGCGGAGCTTGGCAGTGGGCCGGCTACGGCTCTACACTCCAGCCTGGGGCAAACAAGAGGGCAAAAACTCATTCTCAAAAAAAAAGAGGTTCCTCGCGCATGGTGGCTCACGCCTGTAATACCCAGCACTTTGGAGGGCAGAGGGGGCAAACATCAACGAGGTTTCAGGAGGTCGAGCCATCCTGGGCTAACACGGTGGAAACCCCATCTCTTACTAAACTACAAAAATTAGCCCAGGTGGGTGGTGGGGTGCCTGTAGCCCCAGCTACTCGGGAAGCTGGCCAGGAGAGAATGGCGGAACCCGGGGATGGCAGAGCTTGGGCAGTGAGCAAGTTGGAGCTGCCACATCCAGGCCTGGGTGGCCAGTGAAGCAGACTCCCATCAAAAAAAAAAAAAGAAAGAAAAAGAAGAAAGGGAAGGAAGAAGGAAGGAAGGAAGGAAGACGGAAGGAAAGAAAAGAAAAGAAGAAGAGAAGAAGAAGAAAGAGAGAAAAAGGAAAGAAGGAAGGAAAGGAGAAAAGGAAGGGAAGGAAGGACGGAAGGAAAGAAGGAAGGAAGAAGGAAGGAAGGAAGACGAAGAAGGAAGGAGAGAAGGAAGGAAGGCAGAAGAAGGAGGAGGGAGGGAGGGAGGGAGGGAAGGAACTTCAAACAGAGCATACTTAGTTATGGGTGTCCTCCCTACACAGAAACACTCGCTGGACATCAATGATTTCATCCGCTGTGACTGGCAGATAGGCCACATTTCCTGACACCCTGACTCTTCACCTCAAAAGGGTTAGCTTTCCACCACACCAGCAAAGACCCTCAGGACACACGATTCATACCCCCAGCTGACCATCTACCCTGAGGTAAGCAGACACTCAGGCAGCTGGGCTGTCCTTGCCCTAATACCTGCAGTGGTGTCCACACTGAGCCCTGCCGCACTGGTAGAAGGTGGTCTTTGGCTCATCTGCAGAGCGGGTCTGAAGCTACATGCAGGAAGCACAAGGAGGTTCTCATTTAGGACATGACTCTGTAGTAGAGTCAACATCCTCCCAGGCAGCTGCTCTCCCAGGTCCGTCATCCACTTCTTTCAGCTTTGAGTACTTCCAATTTGTTACCTTGTGGGTGATGTTGTGCACACAGGGCCACGTGTTGCAGGCGAAGCGGTGGCAGCGCTCTCCCTCCTCCACGATCAGCCCGTCCCTGCAGCCAGGGTAGAACAGCAGCATCATCTCGGACTCTGCTGCCTCCAGTTATTATTTTTTTAATGAAACATAAATTTGGTATTAACCGTTTGAGAACTTTTAAAAGATAACATGGTACAAAGGGAAGGAATTTGAGGGCAGAGTGGACACTTCCTGGCTCTTCCTTCTTTTCCTGGAAACCAGTCAGGTTACTGGTTTTAAACCGGAGGTGGCAACAGGCATTGCAGCAACTGTGTGACCAGAGGATGGTGAGTTCCTCTGAGTGCAATTCCACGATGCCCTCCTGATATTATTATTACCTCTCTGCCTCTCCCTCTTCTCACTGATGGCGAGCAGACACAGTCCTCTTCTTGTGAGCTACTCACCCCAGCCCTTCCAATTGCATGCACACGTCTAAAAGAGATGCTGGATCCCGGACTGACTCCTGGAACTTAAGGCAATTGCAGCTCAATTTCCATCTTGCCTGAGCTCCAGGATGCCAAGAGTTAAGCCCTATCATGAAGCGAAAACGCTTAACCTTTCACACCCCCACATGCGGGTCCCCTCTCTTCCCGCTCCCCGGCCTCTCAGAGAGGATCCCCATCTTACAGTGGGTACCCCAAGATATGGTTTGGTCCAGATAGAAGAGAGCAGCTGGCTGCTACGGTACCTGGTGGTTCCTTTCCCATGTCACTCATCTATCTCTAGGGCTCACCGCACCTGCCACACACCTTCTGGACTTTTACTTTTCCCTGGTGAATTCTAAATCAAATAATAGGATGGACAAATCAAGGCAGTTCAGCTCACACAGAAAGCTAGTTGGGGTTTGCTTTCTGTTTTCACATCCTCTAAAACTGTACTGAGGATGGTGTGTGTGTGCGTGTGTGTACGTATGTACTTGGAGGAGGGTGAGGAAGGGGAGGCTGCAGGATTGATTATGACTTATTAAACTATTGGAAAAGAGGCTGAATCATCACAGTCAAAAAGAAATAGCTGCCACTCCATGTGATGTAACTCCCACTTCTTGCCTGTTCCCCTTTGCTCCCTCACAGCATGTAGGAGGGACTGTGCTGGGTCAGACCAGCAGGTGCTGACTGACGTGGCTACAGCAAGGGGACCACCTGTATGGCCGCTGCACCTCCAAGCTGTGGGACGCAGGGACAGCTGGGACCAGTCGACCTCCACTGACCCTCTGATGGCTCCTAGGAATGAATCTTGGACTCCAGGTGTGGGTTTACATGCCCTGCGCTCATTGGGAACTGCATGGAGAAGCGCTGTCCCCTGAGCGCTTTTTCTCCCTATCCTTAGCCTGGCCCTGCGCCCTGCGCCCTGCGCCCTGCACCCGGGGCTGGCCCACGGTAAACACAGTTTTGCTAACTTGTTTGGCTAAGAAAATCACAGAGGTCCCGGTGTAAATCTGGGTCACCGCGGCCGCCACTCCAGCTGCCTAGAATATGCTGGGTGGAAGGGAATCGATTCTGTGAAATCAGAGGGAAAATATTGCTTGTCCTTGCCATGAGTCTTGAAGAGAACGAAAACGCTTAACCTTTCACGCCCCTGCATGCGGGTCCCCTCTCTTCCCGCTCCCCGGCTGTCTGTAAGCTCTGCCCGCAGCCACCTGCAGGCGTTTCAGTCGGTCTCATCCTTGTCCTTCTACAGGACCCGGGAGGAGGGGTTGGGGGAGGGCGGAGCGAAGCCGCTGTGACGTAGCGGGAGGGGGGCGTGGGGAAATGTGCCGAGGGGCCCGGGCTGGCTGGGCCAGTCCAAGCGGCGCAGCCACCCATGCGCGCGCGCTCGCAAGACCACCCGCGCCCAGAGCCCCAGTCTGAGGCTTGGCATCGGGGGGTCTGCGGGCGAGGCGAGCTCTCTATGGGCGAGGGGCTAGTGGGAGCCGGCACAAGAGGGTCGAGGAGCCAGAAACACCAAACGTTCGGCGCCGGGCGCTAGCCAAGCTGCTGCGCGCCGCGGCGCCCAGCTGGCTCGGGGACAGCCGCTGGGTGTGGGAGACCGGAGTTAGCGGATTGCAGCGGAAGAGCAAAGGTGAGGAGTGGTGTGTGTGTGTGCGTGCGTGTGTGAGATAGAGATGGAGGGAGCGAGAAGCGCACTTGGGCACCTGTGTGCATCTGCGCTGATGGTGGTGTGCCCATCCGAGTGCCTGAGTGTAGGTCCCGGGACGTGATTCTCCGCTCTTGTGCTTTTTGGGGTGATTGTAGTAGGAACGAACGACAGCGGGTACCCCTGCCTGAGTAAGGGGGCTGTGGGTAGAGTGTGCTGGAACCGACGTGTCCTCACAGCCTCATGCCCGTGTGTGTGGCGTGTGCCCTTTAGCCCGAGATTTCAGGTGGTAGCTGCGACGGATGACAACTTCTCTCCCAGCGCCCTGCAAAAGAGACCCGGCGCGAGAGGAGCGAGGCCGTGAGGTGCTAGCTGGGGCTCCTGGGGGAGCGCACCCGGAGATCCGAGCCTGCCAGAGGCAGGCGGCGGGCGCAGAGCGGAGAATGGGAGGCTTCTCTCCTGTCTTTTCCTCGCCCAGCCGGGGAGATAGACGCTGAACGATCTAGGATCGGTCCCCGTCCCCCACCTCGGGACAGAAAGGACGGTTTATCTAGGTTTGGAGAGACCAAACCACTGCATAGCCCGTGCCCGAAAACCGCTGGCCAAGTCCCCAAGCGACTGTCTTCTGCGCCCCGATGTCTCTGTCCTCAGCGCCCCACCCCACCCCCGGCACCCCTGCTCTGCGTTTAGAGACTGGGCGTGCTGGCGCTACAATCTTCACTCTTCCCTCGTCTTCCTGGAAATGGCACGGAGTTCTTTGGGAAACCCTTGCTCTGAGGATCAGCGAGTTGGATGGCCAGGAGGACTTTCTGTGCCAGCCGGGAGCATCGGCTCCGCGGTCCTGACACTCGCGCCTCCGTTTCTCAACCCCGTAGGCCAGCACCGCCCCGGCTTTTCCCAGGCGCTCACGCGCCGCGGTGGCCCACAGGGGCTTTTATCACCCTGCTAGTGGGGGCTCTCGCTCCAGCGGCGCAGAGGCCAAGCCGGGTTCTGAAGGCCCCAAGGGAGGCGGGGGTGGGAAGTGAATGCGGAAAGATGATGGGGAGAGGAGAAACTGAAGCTGAGCAGGATTTAGGACCTCCCCTGATGTCCGGTCGCCATCCCAACACTCATTTTTTGGGCTGGTAACCACAGCCCCTACGTAAAAGGGAGGCGGGGGTGCAGGTGCGTGAGACCATTCTTACCCTCCTCTCCACAGAACCTGGACTTGGTTCAGAGGAAACCAACCACTAGCCATTTCCAGCATCTAACAATTATTGGGCTGGAAAAACAAAGAATGCAGAAAACCAAACTTCCTTGTACATTTAATTTAACCACAATTCAACAAGAATTGGCTGCCTGGCATTGGAATATTCTTTCTCTGAAACAAAAAGGAAACAGAAATCTCTAGAAGACCTTAAGCGGCTGACTTCTTTGTTAAATAAATCTCCCCATGATTTAAGTTCATTTCTTGCTTAGAGGAGCCTTCCCACTCTCAGCCGGCTCCCCAGCCTCCCACCTCCACCAGCTTCACCAAGACTCTCAACCCTGTCTGTTGCTACCATTAAGCAATTCTGTCTTGTGGAGTGAAACCCCAGTTAAAATGACCAAGTTAAGGCTGGAAAGCAACACTCAACCCTCCCTCATACTCCCTGCACCATCATCGTTCCTGGCCCAAAAGCTCTTAGACAGGGGCTCTGCCGGCCCAGGGGGACTCCGGGTTACCTGGACATTGGAGTGTGACCATTCATGTTATATAGATGGGCCCCTGGAAATCCCTGTGATAAGGTACACTCTAATTGCAGGCAGCTTGAATAGGATTCTGGCTCTGTAGAATTAATCCAACTGACAAGATGGTTAGAAATGATAATGAAACTACCCAAGTTAATCCAGGGATACTAACCACAGTTTCTGTACAGCTTCTGTTTTAATTGCTGCCAGTCTATGGTTTTTTACCCAATACAGACATGAAATTCCAGGTCCCCCAAATACTTCACAAAATGGTCAGCCACAAAGCCCAGATCTCACTCCACAGACAGTTGTGTGGTAGGGAAATGAGCACAGAAGGAACCAGCAAGGCACCTGGCAGTTCAGAATGGATCAGACGCAAAGGTGAGCAAGGATCCTCAAGTACTTGTTGCTGGCCAAGTCTCCTTGAACTCATCTGAAGTCTTTCCAGGGATTAAGGAGTAATCTTCCATCTACACCCAGGCACCAGGAAAAGTACCTAGCTCAGGGGAAATGTGTCAGCCGAGTGAATTATTCCCACTCTGCTGAACATAACACCCTTTGAACATCTCGCCTCTTCCTAGATTGGCCTCTTTGCTGTCCTCCTGCCTCACTCTTCATACACCCAAGACCCAGCTCAAACATTTCTCTTTGGAAGCCTCCTCTGAGTCCCCCAGGAAAGGAAGGCATTCTTAAGTCGGTCATTTATCTCTCAAGCAATTCCCACCCTATATGAGCTGACTTCCTTTCCTATCTCCCCTTTTAAATTATCACCTTCTAGAGGGCACTAGCCAAGTTTGTTTTTTTTTTTTTTTGAGACCGAGTCTCGCTGTGTCGCCCAGGCTGGAGTGCAGTGGCGCGATCTCGGCTCAATGCAAGCTCCGCCTCCCGGGTTCACGCCATTCTCCTGCCTCAGCCTCCTGAGTAGCTGGGACTACAGGCGCCCGCTACCATGCCCGGCTAATTTTTTGTATTTTTTAGTAGAGATGGGGTTTCACCGTGTTAGCCAGGATGGTCTCAATCTCTTGACCTCGTGATCCACCTGCCTCAGCCTCCCAAAGTGCTGGGATTACAGGCGTGAGCCACCGCGCCGGGTCAGTTTGTTCATTTCTACATCCCTGCTGTCAGCACAAAGAAGCCTCCTCCCCACCCTAACCCCATGATATTTTTTGAATGGCTGTGTATCGATCATTTAACTATGGGATGAACTATCGTTTTAGATCTTAAGCCAAGCCAATAGTGTTCCAATTATTTTCTCAGCAAGGAAGTAACACAGGAGTCAGTTGCTTCAAACCAAAGCCCAGTTATCAGCCGTTCAGTCTCTCAGCCACTGAGGAGCAGAGGGGATGCCTTGAGACGTGCAAAAGACTTGGGGCCAGGTGGCCTGTGTTCACATCCCAGCTGCACCAGTTATGTTCAAGAGAATGGGAGTGAGCTCCTTAAACTGTCTAAGCCTCAGTTTCAACATCTCTAAAATGGGGGTAATTATCCCTACCACCTAGGACAGTTGGGGAGATCAGGGGAATCGTGGGTGTGAATGAATTCTATCAGTGCTGGAAGCCTTCTGCTTACTTCTATGAAAGAGCTTGTGTCCCACACCTGCTTCCCGTTTTTGTCCTTAATTAGAAAATGGCAGGCAAATTCTCTGGGGTGTTACAGCACTTGGGAGCAGCATCCCCTTAGGGACTTTGGGAAAGAGCTCTTGAGGAAGTCAAGCATTAGGTACTGGAAAACAAAAATAGAAGAAAAACAAAAAATAAACTGAAGCCTACATTTAAAAAATGAAAGCAAACCAGACTTTTATTTTTAATACTGAAGACTATAAATTGGTTCACCATGCAGGTAGATTTCAATACATCAGAGATAATGAGATGGTAGAGGAAAACATGGGGGCAAAACAACACTTACGAGGTTCCCATTATGAGCCCAACGCAATGCTCGGTGTTTTCACATACATTCCATCATTTAACCTTCATGACACCCCCATGTGAACAAATAAGAGTCAGAACCATTAAGGACCAGGCATACGGTCACACGGGCTCAGCAGTGGAACCCGCTTTGTTCTACCTCTAGAGTCTGGGTTTTTTCCACTATGGCATTTTCAGAACGGAAAGACTCCAAGGCGGTCAGCAAGTCAGCACAGACTTCCTGGTAGGGAAGAGGCCAGGAATGTCAGTGTCAGACCCTTCTGAGGTCAGGCGCTGAACTTCTGCAAGCTCTGCCTTTCTGCAGTTTAGATCAGTCAACTTCGTAGGGGTCAAAGTATGTGCTTTTTGAAGCCACAGCCCTCCCCAACATGTGCGTCAGCAGATGATGGCTGAACTCAAACCCTTCCCTAGTATTGGAAAAACTACTCAAAAACTGATGAGAAACTCTAGAGCTTAATGTTGATGCGGAAAGATAATACATTTTTCAATGTAGGAGTATGTCTGAGAGGGTAAACCAGAAATGTGTAAATTTGGTGAGAGTTTAAACAGCTCGTGACCGACGGGCCAATCTTCCTTTTTTCCTTCCAGATGTCACACTGGATCCTTGGCCTCCAGGGTCCATTAAGGTGAGAATAAGCTCTCTGGACTGACTGGACCTAGCCTAAGACCGAAAAGCAGCCATGGACATGGTGGATAAGCCACTCAATGGAAGCCACACATGGCTATCCATTCCATTTGACCTGAATGGCTCTGTGGTGTCAACCAACACCTCAAACCAGACAGAGCCATACTATGACTTGACGAGCAATGCAGTCCTCACATTCATCTATTTTGTGGTCTGCATCATTGGGTTGTGTGGCAACACACTTGTCATTTACGTCATCCTCCGCTATGCCAAGATGAAGACCATCACCAACATTTACATCCTCAACCTGGCCATCGCAGATGAGCTCTTCATGTTGGGTCTGCCTTTCTTGGCTATGCAGGTGGCTCTGGTCCACTGGCCCTTTGGCAAGGCCATCTGCCGGGTGGTCATGACTGTGGATGGCATCAATCAGTTCACCAGCATCTTCTGCTTGACAGTGATGAGCATCGACCGATACCTGGCTGTGGTCCACCCTATCAAGTCGGCCAAGTGGAGGAGACCCCGGACGGCCAAGATGATCACCATGGCTGTGTGGGGAGTCTCTCTGCTGGTCATCTTGCCCATCATGATATATGCTGGGCTCCGGAGCAACCAGTGGGGGAGAAGCAGCTGCACCATCAACTGGCCAGGTGAATCTGGGGCTTGGTACACAGGGTTCATCATCTACACTTTCATCCTGGGGTTCCTGGTACCCCTCACCATCATTTGTCTTTGCTACCTGTTCATTATCATCAAGGTGAAGTCCTCTGGAATCCGAGTGGGCTCCTCCAAGAGGAAGAAGTCTGAGAAGAAGGTCACCCGAATGGTGTCCATCGTGGTGGCTGTCTTCATCTTCTGCTGGCTTCCCTTCTACATATTCAACGTTTCTTCCGTCTCCATGGCCATCAGTCCCACCCCAGCCCTTAAAGGCATGTTTGACTTTGTGGTGGTCCTCACCTATGCTAACAGCTGTGCCAACCCTATCCTATACGCCTTCTTGTCTGACAACTTCAAGAAGAGCTTCCAGAATGTCCTCTGCTTGGTCAAGGTGAGCGGCACAGATGACGGGGAGCGGAGTGACAGTAAGCAGGACAAATCCCGGCTGAATGAGACCACGGAGACCCAGAGGACCCTCCTCAATGGAGACCTCCAAACCAGTATCTGAACTGCTTGTAGGGTGGGAAAAAGCCAAGCCATGCTCTGTCTACTGGCAATGGGCTCCCTACCCGCACCCGCTTCCTTCCTCCCACCCCTCACACCTGGCTTCTAGAATAGAGGATTGCTCAGCATGAGTCCAATTCAGAGAACAGTGTTTGAGTCAGCTTGTCTGATTGAATGATAATGTGCTAAATTGATTACCTCCCCCTTAAAGCGAACATTGAAACGCAGGTAGGCAATTCAAAGTCTGGAGAAGAGGGATCATGCCTGGCTATCATCTTTAGAAACAACAAAAATAGAAAAAAAAAGTATCTGGGTGTTTGTGTATTTAAAACTCAATATGTAATCTTGTGTTTTTATATTTATCCTTGTATATTCCTATTTATTCTCTGTATAGGCATTACCTACGTTCCCGTGTTCACATACACAAGTATCTAATTCGAGTGCGCATAGTGTAGATAGACATTTGCCACAATACAGTGTCCGCAGAAATGGACTTATCATGAAGTCAGTAAAGTCCAAGCTTCAGGGTCTCTCTTGCACGGGCCTTTCCAAGGCCCAGGAGGGACCTGGGCAGTATGTTCACGTGGTCATATGTTTTTGTAAAAAATTGTGAAAGTAAGATATTTTGTATTGTTTTTCTTAAAGAGGACCCTCCTATAAGCTTCAAACCTCAAAAACTTCTAGCGTCTGCCCTTGCGGATTTGCTTCATTAATTTCAGGCAAGTTAGGTCAATGTAAGAAGGGAAAGGGAGAAGATATTTGAAGAACCAGAACATAAATTCATATGTTTCCACTTCTCAGATATAATCAGAGAATTCTTCATTTGCCCAAAAGGACTCAAGTGGTTGTGGTCATCCATCATTGTATTTATCAAGACAAAGCCAACTTTGTTATAAGATTGCATTGTTTTTCTTTTCAGATTGCTTTAGTTTTTCTTAGGGAGCCATGACGGGGGAGAATCACTAACATGAAAGGCAAAAGATGGACTATGATTCCTGTGGAGAAACAATTTTCTTCTCTCCATCGTGAAAATAAGTGAATAAGAGTGAAGCAAAATTACACCTTTATGAGAAACCATAAAATTGTTTTTATTTTTCAGGCCAGAGATAGCTTCCTAATGAAAGAAAATGGAAATGTAATTCAACGACTCCTCAAAGGGGATTCTAGAGGACTTCATACAAAGCTGGGCATTAAGAAAACCACAATGCATGGCCGGGCGCGGTGGCTCATACCTGTAATCCCAGCACTTTGGGAGGCCAAGGTGGGTGGATCACCTGAGGTCAGGAGTTCGAGACCAGCCTGGCCAACATGGTGAAACCCCGTCTCTACTAAAAATACATAAATTAGCCGGGCAAAGTGGCATGTGGCTGTAATCCCAGCTGCTTGAGAGGCTGAGGCAGGAGAATCACTTGAACCTGGGAGGTGGAGGTTGCAGTGAGCTGAGATTGTGCCACTGCACTCCAGCCTGGGGAACAAGAGAAAACTCAGTCTCAAAAAAAAAAAAAAAAAAAAACCCACAATGCATACTAAAGACCAGAGGACACTGTTCATAAAACAAAAGCACCCTTTCCTGCCAATGAATATGCAGCATGCGGGGGGTGTGGTCTGAGTGTTGGTAGGGCTCCACTACTCGGAAATACTGCTGTGCCGCCTTCCCTGCTAACTGTATACACAGTAATTGTCATATCTTTAATGCCGCGGACTCTCTGAGCCGCTCTGCAAGGACTATTGTAGACAGGCACTTCACACCATAAAGTGGCATTTTTTTTTGTTCCCCAAACTGACATTTACAAGCGATAAGAAAAGAGACAATGTCCATTTCATTGACTGATCATTTTCCAGAGTACGAAGAAATACACACCTGGGTGTCTGCAAGGATGTCATCATCTTTGGGTTTTGTCTGAGAGCATCACTCAGCATCTCACACATAGATTTTACCGTATTTTTAAATGAGCTTTCCTCTTCTGGCTCCCTAAGCAAGCGCTGCTGGCCAGTGGGAGTGACTAAGTGCTCCACCTGTGGGTGTCCTTAATGTGCTGCTTTTTCTGTGTAATTCACACCACCTCATTCCCAAAAGTACTTCCTGTGGCTCAGAAAAATGTGTTCAATAAGATTTTGGATAGATAAATCCATACAAAAATAAAAAGAGGTACAGTTATAAAACAAGACTATAGAAAAAGTTGTTGCAGAAATTGCATGCAGTAAAATCCCACACCATTAGCAAAAGTAAGGTCAACTGCAAGTTCAGCTCAGGGCTTCCTAGCAGCCATGTTTAGCAAAGTGTGACTTTTTTTTTTTTTTCCTTAACAAAAACAAGCAAAGATTTGGAAGAAAATGCTTTAGACCTAACTTTACAATTATTATAACATAAGATGTTCCAGGGTCCTTGAATAAATGCTGAGTTTTAGGGAAATGATTCCAAGGGACCAAGAATTGGTAGAAATAAATTCAAGGCAGAGAAGACTAACTCTACAGGCCAGGCATGATGGCTTATGCCTGTAATCCCAGCACTTTGGGAGGCCGAGGTGGGTGGATTGCCTGAGATCAAGAGTTCAAGACCAGCCTGGCCAACACGGTGAAACCCTGTCTCTATTAAAAATACAAAAAATTAGCCAGGCGTGGTGGTGGGCGCCTGTAATCCCAGCTACTCGGGAGGCTGAGGCAGGAGACTGACTTGAACCCGGGAGGTGGAGGTTGCAGTGAGCCGAGATTGTGCCACTGCACTCCAGCCTAAGCAATAAGAGCGAAACTTCATCTCAAAAACAAAACAAAAACAAAAACACTAATTCTATAGTACTCATGACTCTGCAACCAGAGAAACTACCTGTAGGGAGGCCAGAGTCCAAAGCAGCCACCTGGAACCTGAAAATGAAATGCAGACCCAGGGATCTGTGGGTCTTCATCAGCAGGATGACCATTCTAAGGCTAACAGACAGGCTTTTAAATCTGATGCTATAATTCCGTTCAAATACACAGTTAGGTTTCTACCATAGGGAAAGCTATTCTCCACTTTCTGAAATATCTGTTTCAAAGATAACTTGCTCTCTGGTTTTCTTTTATCTAAAAGAGAGAAGCAACATGCTAATTTAAAGGTTAACATCATTTTAATTCAAAAATTTCAGTCTCCATTCCATATTTAATGATGAAGACAAATCTGCTGGGTGCTGGGAGGGAATAGAAAGTAATGCACTCCATTGATTTCAGAGTATCTAATCACTTGGGTTATGCAAGCTGCTACTTACCTGCCATTAGCATGGGTAGTTAAGTGCTGATTAAACCTAAGTGGACTCAGTGAAAAAGATATTGGGAAAGATAATATGATATTGCGGCCTATGTTGAATGTTAGCTTGCGTGTCAGTAACAGAGTTGGGTAATATTGGACGTGTAGATGAAACTTTAGCAGGGTTGGGCACGGTGCTCATGCCTGTAATCCCAGCATTTTAGGAAGCCAAGGCAGGCGGATCACCTGAGGTCAGGGGTTCAAGACCAGCCTGGCCAACATGATGAAACCCTGTCTCTACTAAAAATACAAAAAAAATTAGCTGGGTGTGGTGGCGTGCACCTGTAATCCCAGCTACCCAGGAGGCTGAGGCAGGAGAATCGCTTGAACCCGGGAGGTGGAGGTTGCAGTGAGCCAAGATCGCGCCACTGCACTTCAGCCTGGGTGACAGAGCAAGACTCCATCTCAAAAAAAAAAAAAAGAAAAAGAAACTTAAGTGGGGTTCATACCATAGTGTGGCACAATCTAGAAGGCAGAGGGACATTGGAGAATAAAATGTCATGCAGAGAGGAACAGGCAGGCTGGTGGATGGGGCTTCTAGACCTGGCAGTGAACTGGAGTCTATTTGCTTACACAAATTTAACTTTCTTTCCATAATGGAATACAAGTGTTTCTTGCCGAAGCTCGCAGTCCTAGCTGCCCTAGATGAGGAGCACCGTGCTGGAAAAGTGCACAGGCTGATCACAGAGACAGGTAGGGAGCAAAGGACTGTCAAAATACATGTTCCAGGCTGGGCACGGTGGCTCACACCTGTGATCCCAGCACTTTGGGAGGCTGAGACAGGGGAATCGCTTGAGCCCAGGATTTTGAGACTAGCCTGGGCAATATGGTGAGACCCTGTCTCTTTAAAAAAAAAAAAAAAGAAAGAAAGAAAGAAAGAAAAAAAGTCTCATATTCCTGATCAGCTCTGAATGTGACCATTCAATGAAGACAGTAAAGTTACAGTGGAAGGCACACATGACCTTTGGCCTTGCTAAAGAACAGTGGCTGAAGGTCTAGCAAACATAATGCTCATCTTAGGTTACCTGTTGATTTAAAAACAACAAAAAAACCCCATAAAAATAGTAAAATATAAAAACAAATTAATGTTTTATAAACCCTGGGGAAAATAATTTCAGCAAAGTACAAAAATTTAAAGCATTCCTTTCTTTAATTTTGTAATTCTTTACTGTAGAACAGCTCAAAATATCAGTTCTGTTTTAAGTAACAGAATTGCTAACTGAACAGGGAAATGTAATTTGGATTGTAAAATTCTTGCTTTAATAAAAATTCCTTAAACAGTTAAAAAAAAAAAAAAGAAAGAAAGAAAGAAAGAAAAGTGGCAAGAGAAGTATCAAAAGTTTCCATAGATGGTTGGGAAGATATGATTAGTGTTTCCAAAACGTGTATCATTCTAAGAATCCCAATAGCTGGCAAGCCAAGCAGTGGCACTTAAAGTCATGACAATCAATCACTTGTCTCATCCACGTTTTTGCCAAATTCAAAAACACCAAATTTCCCATCAAACATTCTATCAGAGTAAACCTTTACCTAAGTTCTTGTTTTGCTTTTAACATGTGAATTTCTGGGAACATTCTCATGGGCAGTCTCTAATTTTTTATTTTTTTTGAGACAGTTTTGCTTTTTCACCTAGGCTGGAGTGCAGTGGCACGATCTTGGCTCACTGCAACCTCAGTGTCCCAAAGTGCTGGGATTACAGGCATGAGCCACCACGCTTGGCCAATTTTTCATCGTCTCTGTCTTTCCTGGCATTATTGAAGGGACAGGCTGGGCTGGGGGGTCGCGGCGCAGGGAAAGAACACCTCTTTGCTTAGATATTGGTGTCTAGTGGGGATACTAAGTTCATTTCCTGATCCTGCTAGGCCTGGAAGCAGGAAAGAAATGTCCTGGTTAGAGATAAAATTGTCCTGTCCTTTTAAAGAAGCCTGTTAAAGAATATGATGCAAAGCCACCTTCAACGAAATCTGAAATGACACCCCACAGCCTTGTCCACTCCAATTACTCAGTGACAGGGCCTCCAGTTGCTTAAGCCATAGAGAAGGCCCCTTTGCAGGGGGAGTCACTGAAGACAGAAAGGGAAGCCCAGGATGAACTCAGTCCTAAGGGCTGCTGGGGGCCACCAAATAAGACTGTTGTAGCCCTGGACACAGAGGGAGACACGGTCATCCCAGATTCTTACAAAGAATACATTGCCAAGGACCCTGAAGGAAATCTGCTAGTCTCAAGAGAGGAAGACTCACGACCAGCTCTCTGGGACTACCTGTCAACTCAGCAGGTGCAGCCAGGGAAGAGCCATGCTGCTTCTGCCCTCCCAGTGGGCTAGGCTATCAGTCCTGGGA